TTGAGATGGATTAATGATTGTGCATTGAGCATTGACTCCCCTATACAGAATTTTATTGTTGTTAACAACCATTTGATCAATAAATATGAGAGATATCCTCTCAAAAAAAAATAAAAATAAAAAAAATAAATAAATAAAAAATGGGCCAAGGGATGAACAGTGACTGCAATGGAGTATGGGGGGGGGGTACTCGATAATATGGGTGAATGTAGTAACCACATCATTTTTCTTGTGAGACCTTCATAAGAGTGTGTATATCAATGATATCTTAATTTAAAAAATGGGCCAAGGATCTGGACAAATATTTTTCCAAAGAAGACATACAGATTGCCAACAAGTACATGAAAAAGTGCTCAACATCATTGACCATCAGGGAAATGCAAATCAAACCCACAACAAGATATTATCACCTCACACCTGTCAGAATGGCTATTATCAAAAAAGATAAGATATACCAAGTGTTAGTCAGGATATGGAGAAAAGGGAACCCTAGGGTACTATTGGTAAGAATATAAATTGGTGTAGCCACTATGGAAAACAGTATGGAGAGACCTCACAAAATTAAAAAGAACTATTATATGATCCAACAGTTCCACTTTTGGGTATTTATCCAAAGGAAATGAAAAGACTAATTTGAGAAGGTATCAGTACCCTCATGTTCATTCAGCATTATTTGTGATAGCCAAGATGTGAAAACAGCCTAAGAATCCACCAATGCATGAATAGATAAAGCAAATGTTTTATATATACACAATGGAATATTAGTCTGCCATAAAAAGGAAACCCTGCCATTTGCAACACAGCTGGAACTTGTTGCTAAGTAAAATAAGACAAATACTGTATGATCTCACATGTGTAATCTAAAAACAAAAAATCAAACGCAGAATTATAGAGAACAGACTGGTGGTTGTCAGAGGTGGGGAGAGGTGGGTGGGTGAAATGGATGAGGTGGTCAAAAGAATATAAACTTCCAGTTATAAAAGTAGCAAGCTCTGACAGAGAAGACAAGTAGTGACTCTATAGCATCTTACTACACTGATGGGCAGTGACTGAAATGGGGTATGTTGGGGGGACTTGATAATATGGGTGAATGTAGTAACCACATGTTGCTCATGTAAAACCTTTATAAGACTATATATCAATGATACCTTAATAAAAAAAAAACAAAAAAAAGTAGCAAGCTCTGGGATATAATGTACAGCATAGTGGCTATAGTTGTTAATATTGTATTGTGTATTTGAAAGTTGCTAAAAGAGTATACCTTAGGTTCTTATCACAAGAAAAAAAATTGTAACTGTGTGGTGATGGACATTAGCCAGACTTACTATGATTATTTTATAACATATATGTGTATTGAACCACTATGTTGTATACCTGAAACTAACATAATTTCCCATGTCAACTATATCTCAATAAAAAAGTTTATCTTTAACCTACTCAAAAGTGATTTGATATATCACTTTTATCATAGGTTAAATTACCATTTGTAGGTATATTTCTATATTTTTCTATCCTGTTTCCTTGATCTATTTATGCATCAGTACCTTGTTTCCAGTACATGCTTTATGTTATGTATAATTATGTGTAATCATCTGGTACAGCTGATTTCTTCCTTCAGAAGGGACTAACAGAATCCAAAGTCAAAATCAACAAAATGCAATCTTGAATACACAATAAAAGATTACCAGAAATGAAAAAGTGACACATACTCAAGAGAAAAATCATTTAATAAAAACACACCCACAAATGACTCAGATGTTGAAATTAGTAGACAAAGACGTGAAAAATTTCATGCTTTTAAAAAGAGCAAAAAACAAATCCTGAAACTGAGAAATGAGCTGGTGAAATAAAAAATTCACTGGATAGGATCTGTAGCATATTAAACACAACAGAAGGAAAGATCCATAAACTTCAGGGTAGGTCAGTAGGAATCACCCACTGAAGCCCAGAGAGAAAAAAAAGACTGGGGAAAAGAAAGGGAATAGAGCCATAGTTATTTACGACACATGGTAAATCCAATATGCATGTAATTAGAGATTCAGAAGAGAGTAACAATAGGGAAAAAAATTTTAGAAACATTAGCCAAAATGTTTTCAAAATTTGGTAAAGAAATAAATAGCAACTATAGATTCAAAAAACTCAATGAACCCCAAGTAACATAAGTACAAAGAAAACTATACCTATGCTTATTATATAATCAAAATGCTGAACACCAAGGATAAGGGAAAATATCTTAAAAGCAGCCAGACACTCCCACCATCACCAAAAGGACACATGGCACCAAAGGGAACAACAATAGGAATCAAAGATTAATTCCCATTAATAACAATGAAGCAAGAAGAGAACAAAACAATATCTTTAAAATGCTGAAAGTTGTCAACCCATAATTCTATGTCCAACTAAAATCCTTCAAAATCAAGGTGAAATAAAGCTTGAGGTATTTTTAAGTTTATTTTCTGAGAGAAACAAAAGTTGAAAGGGTTCTTTACCAGCAAACCTGTGCTACAAAAAATATTGAAGGAAATTGGAAAAATATTACTAGGTAAAAACTTCTATTCACAGAGGAGAAGAAATTTCAGAAATAGTAATTTAGAGGTAAATAAAAAAAAGATATTGTTTTCACTTCATAATTTCCTTACAAGATAACTGACCATTTAAGGAAAAAAAAGTACATGCGGTTTAAATGTATTTTGAAATAAAATATATGACAACAATAGCAAAGAAGATGGAAAAGAGAAATGGAAGTATCCAGTTGTAAGACTTCTGCATTATATGTAAAGTATAAAATTACTGGAAGACTGTAATAACTTACTGTTTGATTATTTTTTAGAGCAAGTCTTATTTTTAGAGCAACCTTAGAGCATCCCCTAAAACAGTAAACAAGTAAAAAAAAGTACAGCTAATAATCTTACAATGGAAATAAATAGAACACTAAAAATAATGGAAGTAAATGGAATACTAAAAAATACAAGATTAGTCTATGAGAAAGCAGGAAAATAGAAAACATTATCATTTCTAATTTTTCTACTTTACTGCGGCCTAATATTTTGTCATTATTTTCTGAATGCTCTATGGACACTTGAAAATAATGCATAATCCCTATTACTGGACACAGAATTTAAAATTTAATAGATTTCAATATGGTAGATTTGATGGAGTATGTGACTGACTACTTCAGTATCCTTACTGGATTTGTCCACTTGGACTAACTTTGGCTGAGAGGGTTAATTAATGTCCTCTTCTGCCGGCAAGCCTGCTTCCTATTTGCTTTATTTAGAAAACTTGCTGCTGTAATATGACACATGCATATCATAACCACTGTATGTTCATTTTTAAGTTTACATCTTAGATTATATAGTGCCCTTCTTTGCCATGTTTAATGATGTGATGTGGACTAATTTAGTTCTGTTTTCTTTTAGTTTCCATTTGCCTGGTTAATTTGCTCATCCATTTATTAACCTTTCTGAATCACTGAAATACTTAAGTGTCTGATGCAGAGGTGAGTTTTTTAAAATGTGAAAACCTTTTTCTTTTAATAGGTGAGTTAAAGCTCATATATACTTACTGTTAAGACGTATTTGCTCTTTGGTCTTAGTTTTATCATGTAATTATTTTGTTCATTATATATATATATATACACATATGCACACACACATATATATATGTATATATCTGAATTTTAAGTCATAAGCCTGTACCATATAAATTATTTATTTATTTTTTTAAATATTGTAGTTTTATTTCCACTTACAAATGAACAGCAATACCATTGAGCAAACAGTAAGCATCAGGAGGCTAGTGTGGTTATATTAACATCAAATAAAATAGATTTCAAAATAAACAGTATGACCAGAGATAAAGGGGGCATTTCATCATGATAAAAGCATCTATTTATAAAGAAAGCATAACAACCATAAATGTGTATGCACCTAATAACAGAGACTCAAAATACATGAATCAAAAGTCAACAGGATTAAATGGAGATAAACTCACAAGCACAGAAATGTTAACATAACACCTTCCTTTCAGCAACTGATAGACTAATCTAGAGAAAAATTATCAGTAAATACATAAGGGATCTAAGTAACACTCCGCTACCTTAACAAAATAAACATTTATAGAACAATACATCCAGCAATTTACAGAATTTGGCTTTTTCTTTTAAGAGAACAGAGAATGCTCACCAAGAAAGTCTTTTAATGTTGGTCCATAAAACAAGCTTAGATACATTTTAAAAGACTGCATTCTTACAGAATACATCCAATCACAATGAAATTAAATTGTAAAACAGTAATATTACGTTATCTAGAAAATGCCAAAATACTCGGAAATTGCACAAAACACATGTAAATAACCCATAGGCTAAAGAAGAAATAACAAGACAAATTAGAAAATATTCCTAAGTGAATGNATAATGAAAATACAATATATCAAAATATGTAGAAAACAGCTAAGGTAGTATTAAATGGAAATTTATCAATTTAAATATGTATATTAGGAAAGGTATTAAAAGAAAAATCAGTGACCTTAGAATATATCTTTAAAATATGGATAAAATATAATTCTCAACCCACAAGGGATGATTTTTATGTGTTTGATTTTTTTCCCTCTACTGATTTATTCCTAGTACCTAGAAGAGTGCCTGTCACATAGCAGGTATTCAGTAACTATTTGTTAAATCGCCTCATCAAACCAAAGTTCTGACAAGGGAAACATTAATATTTCCCTCAGGAGAATACTACTTCTGTTCTCTCCTTGTTCGTGGCAGAATGATCATATAGGAAATAGGGAATGATTTACTGAATGAGTATATGGACACTGGGTAGAGAGGAGAACAGCAAAAAAAAGATCTTGAATTCCTATCATCTTCACTTACTCACTAGTAAGTTACTGCATGATATTCAGTTAGGTAACAATATCAAGTTAAAGTATACAAATATTTATATGACCTATAGAAAAAAAGGACTACTTCAATTAGGAACAAGAAAATACCAACTTACATGGGCCATGGCTTTTTTTTAGAATTCAATGTATTTATTATTCCTCTTCTTGGTTCCACTTTAGAGGAAACTCACGGTCCAAAGTGTTGCTAGATGACAGGGGTTTTAAAAACAAAGACATGAGATGATTCTGCCTCTGAGCTCCCAAAGTGCTAATTTAGGATGGCATTTTTCTTCCCCCTTCATGTCTCCTACTCCCACTTTCCCTTTTAGTGGAATTTAGCCATTAAACTTACTCCCATATTTCCTACTCCCATTTCCCCAGAGGGAAGCTGGACAAATACCAACCTTCCTCAAAACAAAGAAGGAATCCAGTAAGAGCAGGATGGACTCAAGAAAAACTGGGCCCAGGCTCCTTAGCAAGAGGGATTTAGAGGCAGACCAGTGTCCCAACACTATGATAAGATGGACCCAACCCACCTGCTTAGACTTACCCTGACCAGTATCTCACTGAATTAAGAGGAAAATGAAAAGCAATGGACGTTATGGAAAAAAAATCAAGGAAACAGAAAATGACTAAAAAGACCTAATGTATATGTAACAGGAATTTCAAAAATAGAGACGAAAACAATGCAGATCAAAGAAAGAAAAAAAAGAAAGAAATAGAACAAAAATTTACAGAGCAAAATCAATATTTGAGTATTTACTGAAGTACTATAGAGAATTAAAGTATCACACCTGGCAGCATCCTGGAAAATCTTATGAAATTTATCCCTGAATACAGATACAAAGACCTAAATACGTTTTAATAACAGATTACAAAACCATGTGTATTGCAACCCAATCTTTAAATAATACATATGTACATAAGCAAGTGATGGAAGGATTACAGACAATTTCACTTTAAATGATATAATGTAACAAAGGAATTTTTTAAGTTAACATGAACATCTCAGGTAGAAGCAGCACCTAGTCAACTTAGACACTGTTTATGCATGTGCAGCAGTGCCCTTCTTTCCTCCTTCTCTAGGGGGAATGGCAGAAGTACTGAGGTAGAGAATAATGAGACACCAGGACTCTCTTATAGCTCACACTTTGTGCACTCTTTTTTTTTTTTTTCAATTACATGATTTATTATCAACCCTGAGTTCAACCAAATTCAGTGGGGAAATAAAAGTATGCACCATTCCCAAGTGTCTCAAACACACAGCTTAATCAATCCTCCTTTATAAATAACCCAAATCATATTCTTTATTGCAGCATTCAATGTCTACAGCACACACCCATCTAAAAATTACCCAAAGCTTCACCTATATCGTTTGGCTCTGCCTCCAGTTATTTTTTGGATTGTGTGTGTGTGTATGTATCTAGTTTATGTTTTAACATGTTTGTTGTCTTTAGAAAGGAGAAGAAATTTCACTGCAACAGTAGGAGAGGGGAAATGTTTCTTTCATTTATTTATTTAATTTATTTTGGTATCATTAATCTACAATTACATGAACATTATGGTTACTAGACTCCCCCCATCGTCAAGTCCGCACCACATACCCCATACTTTGTGCATTCGTGAGTGCGATTGTGGAGTAGACGTTGTCTGTGACTACGGTGACTATGTTTCTATGATTCTTGGTGATGTGTGTGAACTCTTCATAACTGCTCGGGATGAGGAGTAAGTGGGCATAGGGTAGTTCTGTCTTTTGGAGTTTTTTTTTTTTTTACTTTACTATGTGGCTTTGTCTGAGGTTGTGTAATGACAAACGTGAGGTGGATTATGTGATTCTGACTTTGTGTTGTGTGTATGAAACTCCAGGTGAGTACTAGAATGTCTCCTAACTGCCCGATTGCCTGAGCCTGGGTGTAACGGTTTGCGTGAATGTGCCGTTCTTTTATGTAAGTGTATGGGCTTACACAAACAGCCACCTGCAACCGTGGTCACAATCACACACAAACTCCATTCACACAGTCACGCATTCAATTACCGTGTCACAAAAGCTCGACCACGTACCCAGTCTCTCTCACAGCAAACAGCCAAATTCACTTAGTCTGGAGACAAACTACTTTCCTAAACAACCCCGCCAACGTTCCCCAGGGCTGCTCCGGCCTCTTAGAGGCCTAAAACTCCAGATACTCCTCTTCCCGCCCTGGGGGTCCAGGAAACCTTACCTTCAGCATCTTCAGGAAGGGCTCCGGTCCACGTTCTGGTTCGGATTCCAGGCGAGGCCGCACGCCTAGCCCTGCCTACTGGACCCGTCCCCGTGAGACCTCACCGGCATCCTCTGCAAACCGCTCCGCCGACCTCCCTACCGGAAGTGGCTTTGGGCTGCTGTGTCCTCTGGGAAACGTAGTCCGACAGGGAAGAGCCGGGGATGCGAACAAGATAAATCGGCCGCCAGGTTATGGGCTGCACCTGCACACTTTCACTCGGGCTTAGCGTGACGGCCACAACCTCCGATTTCCAAGGTCAGACCCGGGTTTGGGGTCTGAATTCGGGACCTCTGATTCCTCCGAAGACGGATTTCAGGCCTGGCACTGTGGCTGTCCTTACCCCCTCAACGTGGATGCGCTCGTGCCGTGTCTTAAGAGAATTGTTGTCGGGTGCAGAAGGATCCAACCTGTGAGATTGAGGTGCGAGGTGTATTTTCTGAATCCGAACGTGCGCTTGTTCGAGAATGAGTCTGATCGAGAGGGACAGGGTGTATAACACCACGCGTGACGAAATCGTGTGCCGCAGTTTGCAGACCGTTTGTGACAGTCGATATACTGTATACCGTGTGACTCACGGGGTGAGCTCGGCCACACGCGGCGGTGGTTTGGCGGCACAGTGCAATGCGGTGGGCGCGTGGGGGGCGGCGGAGACCCTGTGATTGACGGTGCGTGCGAGCGGCGCCGCTGTGCCGTCAGTGAGCCTGTAAACTGTTTAGCGCGAGGGTTTGGCCTTGGCGGAGTCGCAAGTGAATTTCCCCAGAAGGCAGGGAGCTGGTTGTTGGGACCAGGAGGGACCTCGGTTTGGGTGCATGAATCACAGATCCCTGCGGCGGGGCGAGCTGCTCCTGGTCCTTTACATGTGCGCGTGGGAGAGATGTGAGGTGACATTATGTGTATAAATGTTCATGAGACACCAGCATTGACTGAGAAGAGTGGAAGCTAGTACAGATTGTCTGCCAGAAGTGACAAATCTACGATTAAGATTTTAACCTTGCTGAAGGGTCAGAAACTCCATCTCTTAAGTTTGACGTGAGGAAATAGATCTATAAGAACAAGTGGTTGTGTTTCTGATTCTTGGTCTCATGTGTAAGATGGATTTCACTTGAGACTGTCACTGGGAGACGGCACTAAGTGAAATATAAGAATTACATGAAAGTGGTTTGTGACTGTATGCAAGTCTCTGGATGACTTGTATAACAGTGTAAGGGCAGGTGATTGTAATGTGATTTTGAGATTGATGTGAGTTTTGACTGAGCATGATTGAGTGTATAATTGGGAGTATGATATGAGAGATTTGGTAAATGTGTTTTCGTGTCTTAATGTAACATACAAGTTAAAATCTGGATGGAAGACAGTTGTGTGTGGTTGTGATCTGAATGTAGTAACTATGAAACACTGCAATATTATGAGGTATGTAAGACTGAATATGATGCGATTTTCTACACTCAACTTTACCATACTTACCTCTAAAAAATAATGTGTAAGCTTCCTGAAGCATGTTTTACTTGAAAATTAAATTTTTAAGGGAAAAAAATTTTAATCGAAGACTATAAAACATGATCTTTAAAAATGAAATAATTTATTGTGATGAAGAATGCAAAATGACCACAAAAAAATTATTTTTAATCTCTGTTTTAGGGTAGCAGGAGTATGGTTGGTATTCTTTGGTGAAAGTGAAATAGAGGAAGTCTATTAAATTCTTGCTCTATCTGTTTAAGCAGAAGAGTTCTGAGTCAAGTGAACAAAAGCCTAACTTGAATAAAAAGCCATATAGCCCCTCAGTCAGTTCCCAGACTTGAGTGCACAGACCTAGAATCCCCTGAATGAAAGACCCGGCTACATTGCCAAAAATATATGTTAATTTTTTTCCCCAAGTCTTCCCCAAGGAAGCTACATACTTTACCAGGGTGACTATATACTGAGGAAAAGGAAATAATAAGACCTTTCAAGAATTACTGCACACTTGATCTGAGCTGCTGCTAAATCTAGGAAACCCAAAACATCATTATGTTCTACTAGTCAGAGTAGGGGCTCAATGGAGTTTCAGCTCAGATCCACCTCACAGTGGGCCCCCGGGTGGGGGTGGGGGCCTAAAACCATCCTGTGGCTTTTTCCCTAGTTCTGGAATGGATAATTGGAATAGGCATACTCAGCAACTGTCAGAATCCCCACACTGGTTTTCTGACCTGCTGAGTGAGGGCCATTTCAGTGGGAAAGGACAAGTGGAAGCTATTAAAACTGCCTCTACCTAGACAAATAATAAACCAAAAGAAATACTGCATTCCTGGAGGTATTGCAGAGATTAGTGCCACCATCAAGCACTTGAAAGATGCAGGTAGTCATTCCCAACACTTACCCTGAAACATATCCCGACACAGCTTGAACAATAGACAGTTATTCTCTCACAATTCTGAAGCCAAAAGTCCAAAATGAAGGTGTCAGCAAGGCAGGACTCCTCCTAGAAACTCTAGGGGAGAATCCATTCTCCACATCTTCCAGCTTCTGGTAGCTGTAGGTATTCCTTGACCTATGTATGGCCCCAGTACTCCAATTTCTGCCTCCATGGTCACATGCCTCCTCCTCTGTCCAATCTCTCTGCCTCACTCTTACAAGGGCACTTGTCATTGTATTTAGGGTCCACCCAGACAATCCAGGAAAAACTTATCTCAAGATCCTTAATTATATCTACAGACTCTTTTTCCAAATAAAATAACATTCACAAGTTCCAGAGTTTAGGCTGCTGATGTACCTTTTCTTGAGTCACCAGTCAGCCCATTACACCCTGTCTCACTAAAAGAACATGTTGTTAAATTTTCTAATTTTTGCCATTCTGATTGGTGAAAAGTGGTTCCAGTTATTTTAATTTGAACTTCTCTTTTCATACATTTAAGGGTCACTTTTACATATTTCTGTGGATTGTTCCTTTCTCTTATTCATTTTTCCTGTCAAGCTTTTTGGTTTCTCCCTCAGTTTGAAAAGCTGTTTTTTTTTTATTGAGTTCTAATTGACATTAGTTTCAGACATACAATACAATGACTTAATATTTGTATATACTGTGAAATGAAGTTTTTTTAATATTAGGAAATTTTGTGGACAATTATGTCCCTCTCTCCCCACTCCAGATTCATTCATTGAAATCCTAATACCCAGTCCTACCTTAAATTGTGACTGTATTTGGAGATTGGGCCTTAAAGAGGTAATCATGTTAAAATGAGGCTATTAGAGTAGAGCCCAATCCAATCTAACTAGTGTCCTTACAAGGAAAGACAATTAAGACACACCGAGAGACACACCAAGACATATAAGGACACAATGAAAAGGCAGCAAGACAAGGAGAAAAGACCTCAAGAGAAACCAAACCTGCCAATATCTTGATCTTGGACTTCCAACTCCAGTATAGTAAGAAAATTAGTTTGTTGTTTAAACCACCCAGTCTGTGGTATTTTGTTATGGCAGCCCTAGAAAACTAAAATAGGCATATTAGCTAACTATGATACATTTTCCAAATATATTATAACTTGTAAGTTGTCTTTTAATTTTATGACTTTTAATGTAGTCAAATCTTTAAATATTTCAAAATTTTCAATATTTTATTACATCTGTTTTCTGAGTCATAGTAAGCTCTTTCTTACACTGAGATTATCTAGGACCTATATGGTTTCATTTTACATCCTGGCTCTATTTGGAGTTCACTGTTGTGGTATGATGTGAGGTATGGAAATAATTTTATTTATTTCCAATGCAAACCCACTTGTCCCAGCTATGTGCTTATATTTTATCTTTTTATTTTGAGGTCATTGTAGATATATATGCCATTGTAAGAATTGAGTTCCCGCATAACCTTCACCCAATTTCTCTCAACGGTAACTTCTTATAAAACTCTAGTACAATATTGTGCCCAGGATATTGATACAATCCACAGAGCTTATTCACATTTTGTCAGTTTTATATACACCCATTTGTGTGTGTCTCTCTGTATATATTTAGCTATATGCAGTTTTATCACATGTTGAGTCATATGACCACCACCATGATTCAGAACAGTTTTATCACAGAGATCCACTGTGTTACCCCCTTCTTTTTGTTAACGTTACCATACATCGTTAATGTACAATTACTTGAACATTATGGTTACTAGACTCCCCTTATTATTAAGTGCCCCCCACATACCCCATTACAGTCACATCAGTGTAGTCCATTGTGTTACCCTTTTACAGCCACCTCCTCTGCACTCCCCATTCCCTGGCAACCTCTAATCTGTTCTCCATCTCTATAGTTTTGTCATTTTAAGAATGTTATATTAATGGAATCATACAATTTGTAACCTTACGAGTTTGACTTTTTTCCACTCAGCATAATTCCCTTGAGATCCATCCACATTTGTGTTTCAATGATTCATTCCCTTTTTTTGCCAGTGTTTCTCTATGGTATAAGATGTGCTCTAGTTTAACCATTTACCCGTTGAAAGACATTTGAGCTATTTCTAGTTTTTGGTTTTTACAAATAAACCTGCTTTGAACATTCATGTGCAGGTATTTGTGTAATGTAAGTTTTTATTTCTCTCGGATAAATGGCCAAGAGTGCAGTTGCTGAGTTGTATGGTAAGCTATGCACTTACTTTTTATTGTGAAACTTCATATATTTCAATTTGGTTCTTTCCCAGCTCTGTGGATAATGGAATTATTCCACTCTCCAAAGGAATCAATGTTTGCAGGATCCTTAATCACAAGGGGAATGCAAACTAAGTCTAGATGTACCCAGTAAAATGATTGAAATTTAAAAAACTGACACTAATAATGCCAATGATGTGGAGCAACTAGAATTCTCATACATGGTAGGTGGGAGTTTAAATGAAACAACCATTTTCAAATGCTATTTTGTAATATTTATTAAAGCTAAATATATGTGTGCTTTCTAACCTAGCAATTCTGTTTGGGTACATAACACAAACAGAACTTATTTCATATGTACACTACAAGACTGGTACAAGAATGTTCATAGCAGTTTTACTCATAACAGTCAATAACTGGAAATAAGCCAAATATCCCATCAGTGGGAGAATAGATAAATTATGGTACATTGAGGCAATATAATACATACCATAATGTTAAATTACAAACTACTGCTACATGCAACAATATGGATGACTCTGATAATACAATGTTGAGTAAGAGGCCAGACACAAAGTTATCATACTGTATGATTCTATTTATATAAAGTTCAAACAGACAAAACTAATCTATTGTGATAGAGATAATTTTTTTTAAAAGGTTAACTTTGAAGTATACTAATTAGAAAGAGATATGAGGGCGCCTTTTGGAATGTTGAAGAGTTTATCAAATGGAGGTTTGTATTCTTATCAAATGTATAATAAATCACAGAACTATGATTTTAAGACCTGTGTTCTACATTGTACAAAAGTCTTATTAAAAATGAATATGGATGACTCTGATAATACAATGTTGAGTAAGAGGCCAGACACAAAGTTATCATACTGTATGATTCTATTTATATAAAGTTCAAACAGACAAAACTAATCTATTGTGATAGAGATAATTTTTTTAAAAAGGTTAACTTTGAAGTATACTAATTAGAAAGAGATATGAGGGCGCCTTTTGGAATGTTGAAGAGTTTATCAAATGGAGGTTTGTATTCTTATCAAATGTATAATAAATCACAGAACTATGATTTTAAGACCTGTGTTCTACATTGTACAAAAGTCTTATTAAAAATGAAAGAAATCACACATGCTCAATAAATGGCAGATCTATGTTTTGAATCCACATTTCTCTAACTGTAAAACCACTTTTCTTTCAATTCTCATTTTTGCATCAGAAGCCCAGATTTTATTACATTGAGTGGAACCTTGTTTGGTAGGTTTGGATTACCTGAACATGGGCGATTCATTTAAAAACACACACAACTTTTTTAGATTGGTAGATTTACAAGACTGATTACACCCTATATTAGTAGAACAGATGCTCTCAAAGTACAGTATAAAATTAAGCAGAGCAACTGATAAAGATATAGAAGCAGATTTTAACTATGAAAGCCTCATATTTAAATTACTTGTCCAAATATATAAGATTCTGTTCAAAAAAAATAATTACACATGTGCGCAAAAAGGAGTAGGCAGTAAAACACTATTATAATGGGGAAAAGCTGGAAAGAACGTAAATGTCCTACAATAGGGAAATGGTTAATTAGTCAAAAAAATGTAGTCGAAAAATTATGGCACAGTTTGTAATTTGATGACATTAAAAGCTGTTCACTATATATTGTTAGATGAAGGTAGATTACAAAACAGTATTGCAGTATGATTCTATTTTGAATGAAAAAATCCTATATGCCTATATCTATGTGTTTATTTTCAGAGAAACAGGTGAAATAACTTGGAATAAAATGTCCAAAGAAGCTCCTAAATGAGCTTTATTTTAAGCTTTTTGTATTCTCTACATTTCTGAATAAAGAGTCTATTAATTTGCAGTCAGAAAAAATAATAATACAGCAAATCTCTCCCTCTGAGAGCAGAAGAAATAATGTAAGGAGTTACATGTATGATGCATGGAGTGTAATGCAGTGGTTTGAATTGTAGCTTATGAGGACTAAACTTTCTTCATAGACATGAAGACTTTCAGATGAATAACTCAGATATTACCTTAAAGGTCCTAAATCTTGCATCCTAATATTTTATACCCAATGGATTCCTCTTACTGGTTCCCTTTCACTTATCTAGGTTCAGATCTCTTTTTGCCACCAGCCAATGCTGCAAAGAGAAAAATAATATCTGCCTTGGAAATCAGTTAATTAATAATAAACCCTGCACAGAGGAGAAAAAAAATGCATCTTAGGTATTATGTGGCAATACAAAAATTCAAACTGCTTCCTTGATCATCATGCAGAAAAGCAGAGATGCCCATTTCTACTTCCAGGAATCTGAAACCAACCCTTCAGAAAAATTACCTAAGCACCCTAAAGAATCACATTCCCTAATGAGTCACAATGAAGAAAGTAAATGGCTCCAGAATGCAGATTTTGAAATGGAAAATAGAGATATTGTAATCAGGCAGACCCAGTTGGTTAAATAAAGGTCTGCAGGTCCTATAACGTGCCCTTGAACAAATTCCCCTGAGTCTGGTAAGTCATCTATATTCCACTTAGAAGTCAACGCCACATTCCTGAGTCTCCATACCCCTGAAACGATAGGAACCCATGTCCCGAAGAGATCCAGGAAGGGAATGTAAAGTTGGTGAAGACATGGGAGCTGGACAACAAGGAAAAGTTGTTGGTTAAAAAAATTACAAGATATCTATGTAATAGAATACTAAGATAGACATATGCAAAATTATAGAAAATAATTCAAGATATGGAGTATTTTCAAGATAGAGTATCAGTAGAGAAATCACTTTACAGACAGGTTGACCAATACAGTTATATCAATATAGAGTGATAGAAAAAAGTCTAGAAAGTTAAACAGCTGTTTCAGTTATCTGTTACTATGTAACCACCCCAAAAGTTTGTGGCTCAAAATAAAAAAACATCAATTAGCTCATTACTCTAGGGCTTGGCATTTGGGGCTTGGCTTGCCAGAGTAGTTCTACTGATCCCACTCATGTGATAGCAGAAAGCAGGGTGGGTTGGTGGGGGCTGGATGGTCTAAGATGGTATCACTGAAATATCTGGCAGTTGTTGCTGTCAGTTGGGCTTCTGTCTCCAAGTGACCTTTTGTCTTCAAGCAAGCAATCTTAGCCTTCAATACATGGTGCTCTCACTGTAGCATGAGGGGAAAAGCAAAAGCTGCAGACCTCCTAAGGCTTTGCCTTGGAAGTCTCACAGTGTCACTTCCACCATATTCTGTTAGTCAAAATACATCACAGGCTCTGCCTGATAGTAACCTAACTATTCCAGGAGAAGGATAGCAAATACTCCCTTTTCTGAAAAAACAAAACCAAAGAGAACAACAAAATCCTTGATTTTGAGCTTAATTTTCAGATATGCTCAGTAATGTTTTCCTCTCCTCAGGGCTCTTCTCTCAGAGAACTGCACTGCAAAGGATCATGAGACACCAGACCTTTGTTGGAGCATAGACTGGCTAAACTGGAAGAATTCTTCACCACTCAAGCTCCCATCATCTACCACACACTCACTCAGATGGAAGTAAAGGGAGATTAGCGTACTGCTAACTTTTCTTAGTATCAAAGAGAACGCCTGGGTCACTGATATCCAGGGCTGAAATTTTCAATTCACAGCAAGTTTCTTGGGGAGACAGCTCTGGGAATGATATGGTTCTGAAACATGGAACTTGACCTCAGTTTCTAAGGGACAGCCTCTGAGGAAAGAATCCTGTTCCTAGGCTCTCACTTTGTCTTTCTAGGACTCTACCTAAGAGGCACTTTCAACTCTTAAATTCATTCCAAAAAACAGACCTGTGCTTTTTTGCTTGCATGTAACCTTTATCCTACCACTCAAATATCTGACTCCCCTTTGGTGACCATTTCTCTGCAGCTGAAGTCCATAGCTATCAAGCAGGAGAAAAGAGGAGGCAGGGAACCCAGGAATACATATCCTAAGAAAGAACAGAACCCAAAATTGGCCTCTAAGCGGGCAACACTCACTCCACTGATACCCGCTCTGTGCTAAGCATGAGGCTGGGCTCTGGAGGCGGGGGTGGCCTGAAGAAGGCAGCTCAGGCCACGCTCCAGGGCGGGGCGACCCTGGTTAACACGAGCATAGTAAGTAGTCTTTCAGGCACAGATAAACTCTCCGGGAGATTTCTTCAACAAACCCCTCAGTCCTGACGTTAAACCCAGAACTGAAGAAATGAAGCTTTACCCCGTAACACAGTCAAACTCCTACAAGGTCACAGAATTAAAAGACTCTTCCATCACACTAGGAAACAACAGCTCTGTCTTAGGTGGGCGGTCTTAAAACCCAGTGTCACTTACGCCCTATCTGGGCTGACCACGGTCACCCAAAAGGTCCAGCATCGGAGCGGCGACACACATAATCACGCCCCCGTCACGGCCCCATCACCCCACACACAGCCCGCCTCCTCACGGCCAAAGTCGCTCGCACCCTTAAACACGCACACGCGGGCCTGAGCTCCAGGCTGCACACGCCTTGTCGACGCCGTTGGGGCTCGGGGCTTCCTCACCGTGAGCGCCCGCTGCGCTCGGCCTCCGGGACCTCTCGGAGCGCGACGACTGAGAACTGAGGACTCCCGTTCTCACCACTGAGCGGGTATCACCAGAGATGAACCACAGACCCAAGTTGTCTTCAAAAGCTGCACGGGGTCTGTGGGAAATGTAGTTCAAGGTTGGAAAGGCCCGGATGCCGAGGAGGCGCGGAGACCGCGGCCGCGGCCGGGGAGGCCGAATCGCGGAGACACTTGGGAAGCACTGCCCGCCCCTGGGTACGCAGGCGCAGACGGCTGGCCGCGGGTCCGAGGTGAGGCTGGCGGCTCCTGCGGGCGCAAGCCGGCCGGTGGTGCGGGACCCCGGGGGAGTGCCAGGGAAGAAGCGGGAATCCGGGCTGGGGAAAGCAAGGAAGGAAGAGGGATCCTGGGCCCTGCAGGCCGGCGGGGAGAGCGAGGGTCCGGGTCCTGGATAGAGCGAGGAGGGAAGCGAGAACCTAGGCAGAAGAAGGAACCCGGAGCCAGGGCCGGACCGCCGAGAAGGGAATAGGGAGCCCGGCCCCTGAGCGTCCAGCGAGAAACCGGGAGTCCCGGCTGGAGAGGGCCGAGGAGGGAACTGGAAGCCCGCCCGGGGCGGGTGTGAGCTCAGGCAGAGCGGGAATTTTGTCTGTTTTTAGTTTCCGTGACGGGACCCCGGCTCTCGGAGCAAGGCCTGGCACACATGGGCATTCAGTTTGTGTAGCTTTTTGTTCCTGTCCTTGTGTGTGTGTTGGCCATGTGTTACTCCGTGTGACGATTGTTTGTGCAAGTGATGAGTCTCTGCGTGGGTCCATTTTTTAAATTAGGTGCGAGTCGATTTGTGTTTAAGACCGTTTGCTACTTTGGAGAGTCGACAGCAAGGGGTTTTGTGTAGAAATACGTTATGGGCTCTGTGAGACTATGTCTGACATGTTTACCTATAGAATTGGGATTGCGTCGTGGGGGATATAACTGTGCATATGTAATTTCTTAAGTATTTTACATGCACAATCCACAGTGAATATAGCTCATTGTAGATAGAACGCTTGAAAAATTGGATGCATAACTAGTTAAGTATGTCTTGTTTAGGTTATCTGGATACTGGCCATTTTATATGTCTGTAGAATTTCACTCCGACAATTAAACAAGCAAAGTAGATTTCTCAAGTGGAGAGAAGGAGGTAAAATCAAAATAATTTTCAGACGGTAATATCCTTTCCCCATGTTGACTAATGATGATATATTGAAATGAGTAGACCACCATTTGGAGCATACAAAAAAAAAAAACTTCCTCCCAGAACTGCCATTCTCAAAATTTCTATTTGGGTGAGGTTGTTTTTTGTTTTTTTCCTGCTGCTGGATGAATTGCCCCGTGGACAATAATTTCCTCAGTCATTCTGAAGATAATAAAACCTGTTGAATATTTAAGCACAAGATCAGTTTCATCTTATAATAGTCATTTAGCTAAATAAAATCTTCACTGTAGAAATTAATACTTCAGACTTGTTTTAAAAGCAAAATCTCTCCCTTCTGCTGGAAGACTGCCACAGGAAAAACATATGATCAGTTTCTTCTCTAATTCCTCAACCTCTATTTTGTCTCCTCTTTACTCCCTCTAGGTGGGTAGTCTCCAGCTGGAATGGATTGGGAACTGGAGAAGGGAAGAGGAGTCAGTCAGGGACAAGAAGAGGCTATATGACTGATTCCATTATAATTTAGTGTAAGTAATCTCTTACCTTCTGACAGAACCCACTGCTGGGAACTTACAGATACACTTCCCTTCTCCTGGGCACAGCCACTTCTCCAGCTCCCTGCCCAGTGCTTCCCCTGGGCCTGCAGTGGCCCATGTGCTCTGTTGGATCTTGTCTCTCCAGGCAGTCCTCTTGAACAGGAGGATCCACGCCAACCCAGGCAGGCTCCATCCATGGGTTCCCCATCTAGAGCCCAGGTGAGAATTAGTCTCCTCAGACACTTGCCTTCCCAAAGACTAGAAATGTACATTTTTTTCCCAGAATTCACTCACCCATTTTTTTCCCAGTGACGTCAGGGTCTGAGGTACCCTTTATTATAAGGAAGGAAGAAGCACCACTTTTCCTCCCTCTGGAAAACCATGTCCTAAAACTAATTTATCCTCTTCAAGAGGGAGTTAAATTAATAGTAGCAAAACCCTACAATCAGCTGCTTTGTAAGACTTATAGAATAAGGGACATTTAGAAACTTGTTTCTTTGGGATGTTGGCTGAGACTGACACAGAAATATTTCTAAGTTACCATCCTGTTAAAAATGAACAATGACAACAATTAGAAAACTCAAAAGGTTTGCTGGAAAAAACATTAACAAATCAGTAGGCTTCATATATATGTGTGTATGCATGTGTTATATGTATGTATTAGAAAACTATGGAAAATGTCAAGTACCATCAAAAATGAGATACAAAGGACTTCATGATATATTTTTAAAAATACAGATGTTCTTAAGGGACTTAAAAATTAAGACTTGTACTTAAGGACAGGAAGACAAATGATAAAGTGGCCAAAACTTCCTAACATTTTGTGTGGTTCCATTAAAATTTCAATAAAATTTTTCAACTTTCTGAAGTTCTTAGGAGAAAATGAAGCCAGAAATTCTGAAAGAGAAAAATAATGAAGGGGGAAGTAGCCCTACCTGATACTAAGATATGTTTTAACACTATAATAATTGCAGAGTGATCCTGTCAATTAAATGAACAGATTGATGGGACCAAGTATAAAATCCAGATTTACTCAAATATATAAAGGAAATAAAGTATAGGATAACATTGACAGTTTTGATGAGTGATAGATATACAGGTTGAATACCTGGTGGTGCTAAACCAGATGACCATAATCTTTTTAACTTATTTCTGCATGGGGAAAAAAGAGAACCTATGAAAAAGTATTATAAATAAATACAGGATTAATTTCCTTCTTTTAGGAAAGATCTACTATCAATCTAGAAAACAGAACTAACCTAATAGAAAAAGGAAAGAATTATGAGACCATTTACAGATGAAACTAAAAATATTTTTTAAACTTACAAACAGAAGCTTGTCTTGTAATAAAAAAAAAAAACCTCAAACCACAATTTAAATCTATTAGATAGGCCAACACCAAGAAGTTTATACAAGTAATATTCAGGGTATGGGGTGACAGGTAGTCTCATAGATGAGGGAAAGCAGCATGGAAGTATCTAATAACAATAGACTGCTAGGAGAGAAAATGTGTTAGAGAGGAGGGGAGCTTGCTGAGAATCAAACTTGTTGCCCCAAAAGCCTGTGTCTCTGGCTTTAAGATAAAATAAGGTTTGTCTACCTATTCTCCTGACTGAATTTATCTGCGATTGGCAGAATAGACAAAGGCCTAAGCAAGGGAAATGGATGCAATTTTAACTGAATCATAAGTCATAAAAGAGCTGTAAGGCCCCCCTATGTTATCGCAGCACTATTTACAATAGCCAAGAAATGGAAGCAACCTAAGTGTGCATCAGTAGATGAATGGATAAAGAAGATGTGGTACATATACACAATGGAATATTATTCAGCCATAAGAAGTAAACAAATCCTACCATTTGCAACACCTTGGATGGAGCTAGAGAGTATTATGCTCAGTGAAATAAGCCAGGCGGAGAAAGACAAGTATCAAATGATTTCACTCATCTGTGGAGTATAAGAACAAAGAAAAAAACTGAAGGAGCCAAACAGCAGCAGACTCACAGAACCCAAGAATGGACTAACAGTTACCAAAGGGAAAGGGACTGGGGAGGAAGGGTGGGAAGGGAGGGATAAGGGGTGGGGGGGAAGAAAGGGGGCGCTAAGATTAGCATGCATAATGTGGGGGGGGGGCGGAGAGGGCTGTGCAACACAGATAAGTAGTGATTCTACAGCATCTAACTACGCTGAGGGACAGTGACTGCAGTGGGGTATGTGGGGGGAACTTGGTGATGGGAGGAGTCTAGTAAACATAATGTTCCTCATGTAACTGTAGATTAATGATACCAAAATAAAAAAAAGAGCTGTAACGCATGTGTGGTGTCATGTGTTTTTTTTTTCATCCTGGCTTTGCCTTTTTAGGAACTGCCCCTTCCCAAAAGAGAGCCGGAGGAAGACTGCTCATCTCTTACAATCTGAAAATCATGGCTCAGGTAAGGTGATTGTACCTTTCTCTTTTCTAAAATAGTCTTCTTTTTGTTTCCTTTCCTTTTTTTTCTAACGGCAATTTGAGCATTTGCCTTCTTGTACTAAATCTTTCTGCCTATCTTCCCCTTCAGGGAAGTGGTCTTTATTTCTTCTCATACTGGCCAGATAAGCCTTTACCTTCCACAAGTGCTCTAAATTTAACCAGTGTTCACACATTAAGTGGGTGTATCATTCAGCATTTTTCTCAGCCTTCTCCCAGAAGCAATGCTGAGACAGGAATACATTTCCTCAGATTAAATGACAGTATAGTACTGCATGAACTTGTATAGATAAAAGCAGTCAAGAGGGAGAAATGGATAGGTTGCTATTAGTAAGTGGCAAGAAGTTCTGTCTTGAGGCTTTGGAAATACAGCTATGGTTGGCAGATTGTACAAAGAACCAAGAATCCTCTATTTCTCCTGTCTGAGCCTTCAGTTCTGCTAATTCCCTAAAAATTTCAGCCTACTGATAACATTCCTCCAGTATGCTAAAGATATTTTAGATTTATTCCTAGTTTTAAATTTCTTCTAACTGTATATTTGGATGCAGGGAAAGTAAATGTTCTATGCTTAGATCACCATGCTGAATTAGGAGTGTTAACTTGAAATATTCTGCTCTTGCTTTCAAAAATGTTTGCCCCTAGTTCTTTCAGAAAATTTACTTTATATTGGGACCTCTTAAATACTGGTGTTCTCCAGATTCTGTATTGGTTCTCTTCTCTTTACAGTCTCCTGTTCTACCACTATTCTAATAAGGCTCAAAAAATTTAATCTTAAACCTGTGTTCTGAATGTCAAAACCATAGCCAGCCTCCAGGTAGATATCACCATCACTTGCATATTCCACAGATACTTCAGGCACATGCCCAAATTTTACCTCATTATCTCCTCCTCATCCTAATCTTTTTTGTTTCTGTTTTTTCCAGTCTGCTTATGCCTCCAGCCCTACCCATCTGCTAATACAGCTCACTTGAGTTAAATGTCTCTCTTCCATTGCACAACCATTTAGTGGTGGATCTTATTCCTTATTCCACATTCCCTTAATCCCCACTGATCCTTTCTATTGGTTGTCTCTCTCATAATGGTCATTTGTCTTCCCATTTAACACCTTTGCTCCTTTTCTAATCCTCCAAGTGCTCACCACAGTCTTCACTTATGGATCTTGTGTTTCTTATGCTTTTCTGTTTAACTTTGTGTTTGTGTATGTGTGGTAAAATATATATAACATAAAATTTTACTGTTTCAACCATTTTTCATGTGCCGTAAGTACATCCACAATATTGTATGTCGGCACCACTCTCTATTTCCAGAACGTTTTCACCATCCCAAACAGAAACACTATACCAATAACATTAAACAATAGCTCTTACCTTATGCCTTTTAGAGCATCAGATGCAAAGCACATTATAGGAATGTGTAAAGGTAATCCATTATGGTAGAGGAAAATGTTAAAATGCTCATTAACAGTTTAAATTCATGAGTAGTAATCATTAATAATAACAATAATGTAGTTTTCCAGTTCATGATTATATGTCCTTTTATTTAGAAATTTAAATTTTTTCAATATTTGTTGTAAACCAATCTTGCAAATGTTTAGTTATATTAATCCCATTATTTCTTTCTTTATGCTGTTGTAAATGCTATTTTTTATTTCAAATTCCCATTGTTTATTGCTACTATATGAAAGTGCAAATGATTTTTGATACTGACTTGCATTCTAAACTTAGCTCTAGTAAGTTTTTGTAGATTCTTTAGGATTTTCTATATAGACAATCATGTCATGTGTGAATAATGACTGTCTGCCTTTTTGCTTTCCAATCTGTATTCCTTTTATTTCTGTGTTGCTTTACTACACTGTCTAAAACCTTCAGTACAATGTTGAATAGAGGTAGTGAGAACAGACATTTTTGCCTTATTCCTGACTTAGGGGAAAAGCATTCAGTCTTTCCCTATTAAGTATGATATTAGCCATAGCTTTTACATAGAAGCTCTTTATCAGATTTATCAGGTTAAAGTAGTTCAAGTTTACTAATAACTTTTATCACAAGTGGGTCTTGAATTTTGTCAGAAATTTTCCTGCATCTTTTGGCTTTTCTACATTATACAGCTTTTCTTTTCTCAGTTAACATGATGAATTATATTGATTTTGAAGTGCTAATCTGACTTCAGAGCCCTAGGATAAACCCCACTTAGTCCTGATATATTGTATTTTATATATTACTTGATAAATTTGCTAATATATTCTTAAGGATTTTTTTGCTTGTGGTTCATGAGGAATTTGGTCTGTCTTTGTAATAGCATTGTCCAGTGTTGGTATCAGGGTAGCACTGTCTTCTAAAATGAATTAGGAAGTATTTGTACTGTTATTTTCTGAAAGAATTTGTGTAGAATTGGTATTATTTCTTCCTTAAGTGTTTGTTAGAATTCACCAGGGAAGCAAGCCTTCTGACCCTGGAGATTTATTTGTGGGAAGGTGTTTAAGTAGCAATCAGTGTTCTTAATATAAATTGGTCTATCATGTTATCAATTTATTTTTCTTCCGTGAGATTTTATAGTTTGTATTGTTCAAGGAATTTGTCCATTTCATCTAAATTGAAAAATTTATTGGCATAAAATTGTTCAGTATACTCTTTTTATCCTTTTAATGTTTGTATAATCTGTAGCAACGCCCTTTCATTCCTGTTATTGGTAGTTTGTGTCTCTTTGTTCCTTGGTCAGTTGGCTAGAGGTTTATCAATGTCATTGATCTTTTCATATTGTCAGCTTTTGGTTTCATTGATTTCCTCCATTGCTTTTCTGTTTCCTGTTTCTTCACTTCTGCTCTTCCTTTTTTCCTTTCTTTTTCATTACTTTGGGTTTAATGAACTCTTTCTACTTTTATAGAAGGAAGTTTGCATCATCGATGAGAACTTTCTTTTTTCTAGTAGAAGCATTGAATAGTATAAATTTCCTCAGAGCACTATTCCAGTAGTCTTCAACAAATTTTGACTTGTATTCATTTTCATTTCAGTTAAAAATATTTTCTAATTTCCCTCATGATTTCTTTTTTGACCCACTGGTGGTTTAGGAGAAGGGTGTTTAATTTCCAAATACTGGGGGTTTTTCCAGATAACTGTCTGTTATTAACTTCTAGTTTAATTCTGTTGCAGTCAGGGAACATACTCTGTATGATCACTATCTTAAATTTATGGAGACATTTTTATATCACAGATCATAGTTTAATTTGATGAATAATCTGTGTATACTTGCAAAGAATATATATTCTGGTGTTATCAGATGGATTTTCTCTAAATAATCAGGCCAAATTGGCTGTGAAGGTAAAGACTTCATTATCCTTAATGTGTGTCATAGCAATAACAGAGAGGAAAATTGAAATATTTACTTAAAATTGTAGGTTTATCTTTTTTCCTTTTCAGTTCTATCAGTATTTACTTAATATATTTTGAAGTTCTGTTTTAGTTGCTTTCACATTAAAGATTGTTATGTTCTGTCATGAACTGACCCCCTGTATCATTATGAAATAACTCACTTAATCCCTGATAGTATTCTTTTTCTGAAATCTATTTTGTTTTATATTATTATAGTCATTTTTGCTTTCTAATGTTTACTACATACATAGTATACATATTTTCCATTATTTCTACTTTAATCTACCTGTTTTAATATTTATAGTGAGTCTCTTACAGACAGTACAGTTGACCCTTGAACAACAAGGTTGTCAGGGTGCTGACCCCCTTCTCCTCACCATGCAGTCAAAAATCTATATATAACTTTTGACTCTCCCAAAACAAAGGAACAGGATCAAAACTAGTCCCCAGTATCTAATCAGCTTGTTTTGATCCCAGTTCCAATCCATGCAGGGATCAGTGTCATTCAAAGATGTGACTGTCGACTTTACTCCAGAGGAGTGGCAGGAACTGGATCCTGCTCAGAAGACTCTATACATGGATGTAATGTTAGAAAACTATTGTCACCTCGTTGCTGTGGGTAAGAAAAACTCTTTAAATCTTTCAGTAGCATGCATTTCTTTTCAAAGTGCCTGAAGTATGTGTGATCATGAATTTCAGGGATAAGAAGTGGTGAATTCTTTTTGGTTAGCAAAAAGAATGATTGTATCTTTACTTATCCAGTGCAAGGTGTTAAGTTTACTGTTACACAAAGGAGTATCTTAATTGGCAGTACTGAAGATGCACCTTACTGATTTTTTTAATGTATTGAAGCCTATGCAACTTAATCCAAATTTTCCCTTAATCAGGCTGTCATATGACGAAGCCTGATGTAATCCTCAAGTTGGAACAAGGAGAAGAGCCATGGACATCATTTGCAGGTCATACCTGCTTAGGTGGGTCTGTTAACACTTAACCAGATGAAATCTAGTGGGAAATAAATTCTAATGTGGTCACAGGGTGGGTAGCCCCTTTGAAATATTTTAGGAGTCTTTTTAAAGAATTCTAGCCTATCATGCCTTCAAAACTTAGAACTTTCAGTAATCACTCTTCCCATATATTTCTTGGTTTGCTTGATGTTAACAAAAATAGGTTACAGTCTTAATTTAATAAAATGAATTTAAAATAAGCTCTCCATCTTTAGATCTTTTTTCTTGTTTTGTGTCTTTAACATTCTCAGTCTCTTATTTCCTTGCTATCATATGGATTTGTTTTAGGCATTTTTAAATCTATCTTTAAAAAGAAACTTCTTGGTGAATGTTTCTCTTCTCAGTTGCTTTCCATTTTCTTTTTCTTTTTCTTACCTCAGATTTGCTTTCTGTGCTAAGTTTAAGTTCCCATTCTCACCACAAATCTAACTATTAATTTTAAAACTCATTTGCCTTGGCCCAGACTGATAATTCCACAGTTGCATTTTCTTCCACTAAACTTGTGATTCATTTTATATGACTGATCATCATTCCTTAAATCAACCCTTAGTTTGGGTAAAACACTAACTCATTCTTATCTTCATTCTCTGAGTGATTATTTCCAGAGTGATTACCAAGGAAGTGTGGTTTGTTTTCTTCATATTGCAGCCAAATTGCCTGGAACAATGCCTGGCATGTAATAGTCACACAGATTCTTTTTTAATGTATATTGTTTCATTGGACTCTCTTATTTCATTATTTCTCTTATTTGTCTTCAAGGGATCTGTCTTTAAATTATAGTAATCCCATCTTAAATTTTTTCCCATTATCTATTTCTAAATTATTTGTTCCTGATGTGATACCAGCTTGATTTTTCTGTCTCTGTCATCATCTCTTATGGATCTCCTCACAATTTGTATTGTTTATCAGCCTGTGAAATATATTTACATCCTTCCCTGTTTTCATTTCTCACTAACATCATACAAAATGACAACTGTCTTATTTCATGTCTTGACTGCAATCTTGACTGCTATAATTTTTGTCCTGTTTCTTTCAGTTTATGTTGTTACCTTCCTCACAAGCTATATCACTTATTCCCAATTATTTGTTATTTATTATTATGTGAAGTTGAAGTTTTTCATTTAAGGGCTACCAAAAAAAGCCCCCATCTGGTCTTCTCAACTTTATTTCTCTTATGGAAAAATCTTGATTTTCACTTGATCCAGTCTCCTAAGTGTTCTCAACACATGTAGGATTTATCATGTCTGTACTTTTCATTGGGTTGTGTTCTCCCTTCTTTATACTATATATCTTTAAAGTCTCGATATTTCTTTTCCATGAACTATTTCTTGACTACTTCACATCATATCCCCTTTTTCTTTTACTGAGTTCCCATGTTACCTAACTAACTATATCATATACAGCTGTTGGATATGATTTTATAATTTGTACTTGGATTGTACATACATGGTTTATGCTTAAGGATTCTTTTCCTCAAAGATAAGATCTTCTGTTTGAATCTTCTTTGCTGTACTATATATCATGTTAGGTATTCAGTAGTCATTTCATTAATTTTTTGTGGAATTATACAGGGGAAATATATTTTTCCTCCATTCAGAAGCATGTACTGGTAAGTTCCTTTCAGATATACCTGCTCAGGCCATGGCTTTATAAATTCTGGCTGAAATGGTTGGATATTACCAAACACTATCTGTGACACACAGTGTTAATGTAAACTCAGAAGAGTTCAAGGGAGATAACCAATAAAATATTCCTTTCTATTAGAAAGGATTACTTTCAAAGTCTGTATTTTTCATAGGATATTTATGACACTGTGAGCTTGTAAAAAGATTTGTTCAAATGACTTTACTAGACCATAGTTATTTTTAAGTTATGAAGAAATAGTGCTTAAAGTAGTGAGGGAAAATATGCAAATGGTTTTTGTTAGCATCAAACAGTAGGCTTTCCTTGAAGATTCCCTAAATATGTGTAGAAATAAGACTGGAAGGCAAGCCAATTGAGTAAAAGAACATAAGCAAAGCATTGATTAGGAATAAGTGAGATACTTATAGGACATTAAATACTAGGCCTTATTTGTTATGGCTGAGATTTTTCAGGTATGTGGACAACCCTCAAAACTTGTTTGCATATAAAAACTGAATCTAGGTGATATAAAGTTTTGTTTACAGGAGGAATTCCATGTATGTTAGTGTTAGGAGTGATGGACTCAAGGAAAAAATAGATTTTTGAGCCTAGATTTAACATTGTTCTCCTAGATGTGGATGATTACAAAGCAACAACAGTCAATTATAACTGTAAGTTTATAAGGGAAATGAAGGTTAAGGTTAATGAATGATATACAACCAGAATGAAAAATCTGGCATTTCTGATCTGCCATGTAGAAACCTGGAGTTAAGGAATATAACTGTATGGGGGAAAGACTTGAACTACTCTTTCTTTAAGCCTGAAAAAATAAATCAGCTATTGAAAAGATGAATAGTTAAAATTGATGGTCATTAGAGTTTTATTACTGAACAACTCCGAAAGGATTGATAGTTAACAGCAATCTGACTGTACCAGTGAATATGCCCCTAGTTTGTTTAATAAAGTTTCTGTTGGATGTGTTTTCTTAGTTCTTCTCTCACAAAAGAAAATGATTCCCAGTTATGTGGAGGACTAGAGGCTAGACTATAAGATTGTTTCCCTAAACATTAAAAATTCATGCTTGGAAAGATTAATTATCCATTGAAGTCTACATTGAAAGGAGTGGTGGAAAAACTGGAAATATTTTCCCTCACCATCTAAGGGTGAATATATGTAAGTATAGGCTCTGATCTGTGTCCTCCAAAAGTAATACTTCCTCCAGTATTCTCTCTGAACAACCTTTTCTGATTTATTTTGTTTGTCCATCCTACTTAAAACTTTATGCCCTTGAAAGGTTCACTTCCTTGTCTCTAAATCCACCAATCCAATCAATCCCTCTGTCAACTATTTTTTGTCTCACTGCTTCTTGCATTCATTTTTTATATGAAGTTCTAGTACAAAGTGCAACAGTTACCACTGTTCATTGTTTATTTCTCCATCCTTTTCCACAGTAAAGCAGAGTTTTTATTTAGCTTCTGTGTCTTTTCCCAGGTAGTGAGTAATTTGTCCTGGGTTGTCTTTGGCCTCATATACTAGGTCCTCATACAATTTCTTTCCATAGTAAATGTGTGAGGATTCACAACTTGTTATTAATTATATTCTTTTCTAGAAGAAAACTGGAAAGCTGAAGACTTTTTAGTGAAATTCAAGGAACACCAAGATAAGTATTCTACATCAGTTTTATTCATCAACCACAAAAAACTCATTAAGGAGAATAGTAATGCATATGAAAAGACATTTATGTTAAGCAAAAGCTCTGTTAGTTCTAAAAGTCTACCTCCTGAATATGAAACTCATGGAAAGATTTTTAAAAGTGTTTCAGAATTAATCATCAGTAATCTAAGCCCTGCAAGAAAGAGACTTAGTGAATATAATGGATATGGGAAATCACTCCTCAATACTAAGCCAGAGACAGCTCATCCTGGAGCCACATCCCATATTCAACGTGGCAGGGCTGTCATTCATAATGAAATGCTTATGCAGTATCAAAAGATGGAAACTTCAGCACAGTCATTTGGATATAATAACTGTGAGAAATCCTTCCTTAAAAAGGGAGGCTTAATTACACATAATAGAGCTTACAGAAGGGAAAATCCATCTGAATACAATAACAGGAGAAGGGCAACCAATATTGAAAAAAAGCATACATGCACCGAATGTGGAAAGTCCTTCTGTAGGAAGTCAGTATTGATTCTGCATCAGGGAATTCACACAGAGGAAAAACCCTATCAATGTCATCAATGTGGAAATTCATTTAGAAGGAAGTCTTATCTCATTGATCATCAAAGAACTCACACAGGGGAGAAACCCTTTGTTTGTAATGAATGTGGTAAGTCCTTCCGCTTAAAGACAGCCCTCACTGATCATCAGAGAACACATACAGGGGAGAAATCATATGAATGTCCACAGTGTAGAAATGCCTTCAGATTGAAGTCACACCTCATTCGTCATCAGAGAACACATACCGGAGAGAAACCATATGAGTGTAATGACTGTGGGAAGTCCTTCCGCCAGAAGACAACACTCTCTCTACATCAGAGAATTCATACAGGAGAGAAACCCTATATTTGTAAAGAATGTGGGAAGTCCTTTCACCAGAAGGCAAACCTTACTGTACATCAGAGAACTCATACAGGGGAAAAACCCTATATTTGTAGTGAATGTGGGAAATCCTTCTCCCAGAAGACAACCCTTGCTCTTCATGAGAAAACTCATAATGAGGAAAAACCCTATATTTGTAGTGAATGTGGGAAGTCCTTCCGCCAGAAGACAACCCTTGTAGCACATCAGAGAACACACACAGGGGAAAAATCCTATGAATGTCCTCATTGTGGGAAGGCTTTTAGGATGAAGTCATACCTCATTGATCATCACAGAACTCACACAGGAGAGAAACCATATGAATGTAATGAATGTGGGAAATCCTTCAGTCAGAAGACAAATCTCAATCTACATCAGAGAATTCATACAGGGGAGAAACCCTATATTTGTAATGAATGTGGGAAGTCCTTTCGCCAGAAAGCAACCCTCACTGTACATCAGAAAATACATACAGGGCAGAAATCCTATGAATGTCCTCAGTGTGGGAAAGCCTTTAGCAGGAAGTCATATCTCATTCATCATCAAAGAACTCATACAGGAGAGAAACCATATAAATGTAATGAATGTGGGAAATGCTTCCGCCAGAAGACAAATCTCATTGTACACCAGAGAACTCACACTGGGGAGAAACCCTATATTTGTACTGAGTGTGGTAAGTCCTTCAGTTATAAGAGAAACCTCATTGTCCATCAAAGAACTCACAAGGGAGAAAACACAGAAATGCAATAAACGATGTGATATCTTTGTGAAGCCTTTTCAAGTTATTGTAAAACTTTAGTTTTTTTTAAGCATGCTAAATATGGTAACAGGTACTTTTAATCACAAATGTAATAATAGTTTTTAAAGTACCATACCACATAACTATTTACCTACTGTTTACTAACATATAAAATGGGTATGATCATGGTTATTGAACCATATCAGCTATGAAGCTAATTTTTTAAGTTTTCGGGTTCTGCTGACTCCATTTGTATAAATACATGCAGAAGCAAGATACATACTAGTTATAAGCATCAGTCTCCATAAAAGAAATAAAATATGAAGTATATTTCTTATTGCACTCTGGAATAAAATGTAAGTGTTACTTCCCCAAAGATTACCGCTTCCCTCTCTTCAATATCATGTAGTTTTTGCATGCCTTTCAATTGTATATATATTTTGTCATGTCATGAATTCTTTTGTGTCCTGATTCAACATTTTTAAGATTTCATGCATTATTGCATGTGGCAGTAATGTATTCGTTTTCATTCTGTATACTATTCCATTTTAAGAATATACCACTATTTATCCTCTTGATGGATATTTGTTTTTTTATAATTCATGTTATAATAAAATACTATTAAATATTGTATATGTGTATGTATATATAGTTCTGTTGATTTTATACTAAGACTGGAAGTAGTCCAAGGGTGTATGTAAATTTTTCAGATATGGTAGATACTACCAAACACCTCTCAGACCTTGCTCAAAATGAGGTGATTCACTTTGGAGACTAACAGTCTAATTGTAATCAATATGGTAAAGGTCTTTACCAGTCATTCAACTGGGGAATTCCTACTAAAAATAAATCCTTATAATATTGTGAGAAGGCTTTAAGCATGAATATATGTAAAATAGAAAGACCTTTAGCTGTGGCTTAAAACTTAGACAAAACCAGAGAATATGTATTGGAGGGAATCCTATAGTTGTGATTACTGGAGTCCATTTAAAGCCATAATTTATGCCTTATAAAAATTAAATACTTCATATTAGAGAAAGGGAAATTAAGGAGCATAGGTGAGTCAAATTTGGGAGTACAGGAGTCATAGTAGGCAGAATTATGAAAAAAATATATTAAGTAAGCCTATGTATCGTAATAAGCCTATTAAATAAACCTTTTATACTATGATTTGTCTCACAGGAAATGTGGGTCTCTGAAAATCTCAAATGAAAAATAACGAGAGATTCTGTTTGAGAAATGGAAATCTGCTAAGATGATAATGTCTATAGCGTCTTTTCTGTGAAAATAGTAAGCTCAGCAGCAACTTCAACAGTGTTACTGAAGGCCCTTAGGATTGCTCATAACCAATATTTACTATGTACATGAAGTTACTGTGTACAATAAAGCTTAGTATAATTTTAAGCTGTTTGACTTTTCCAATTGAATAGAACTGTATATGAACAAGAAAATGGTTGGTGGTTTAAATGTCTGACAAAAAATTTAATTCTTTTGGCCTATGAAAAGGGACAGCAATTGTCAGTGGATAGTAAATAGAAATAATGCTTATCAGTCCTGGTCTTGCACACTTCAGAGCAAAAAAGGAATAGTGGGTAATATACATGAAAATTTAGACTTGAAAGGGATATAAAATATATAATGTCTGACTGGACAGAACTTTGTGAAATTTAGCCTTAATAATTGCTATTTATGCTTAGAACTTAAGAGGGCTGGCAGGATGAACATATTAGAATAAAATAACTGCAAATCGGTAAGATGACAGGATCTATATTCAGACCTGAGCACCTACCAATTATTTCATTTGAATAAATCTGTATTTGTAGATGAATAAATACTATTATATGCTAACAGTGGTGACTAACAAAAGAATTGTACTTACGAACAAGGATGCAAGCCTACCTACCCTTTTCCTGGTCTGTAGTAAGTAGGGAGACATGGTCTAACTGAATCTGTCTAGTCAACCCACCAAAGATATGAATACCTGAATCATGTTCTCTTGGATATTCTACTGTCCTTTGTTTCTGCTCTTCTAAGCATTCCTATGGCTGTCACAATTCCTATGGCTGTCACAAAGATATAAACTACCTGGTATCCCAAAATGTGCTATGCTAGAACATTGTATACATATGCTTTTTTTATTATTATTAAGGTATTAATATACAATCTTATGCTCAGGTTTCACATGAACAACGTTTTGGTTACTACATTCCCCCGTTATCAAGTCCCCACCACATACCCCATAACAGTCATTGTCCATTAGCGTAGTAAGATGCTATAGAGTCACTACTAGTCTTGTCTGTGCTTTACTGCCTTCCCTGTGCCCCCCTATATTGCGTGCTAATCATAATACTCCTTAATCCCCTTATCCCTCCCTTCCTACCCACCCTTCCCAACCCCTTTCCCTTTAGTAACTGCTAGTCCATTCCTGGGTTCTGTGAGTCTGCTGAAGGAACAAAAAAATGTTCCTTCCATTTTTGCTTTGTTTTTATACTCCACAGATAAGTGAAATCACTTGGTACTTGTCTTTCTCCGCCTGGCTTATTTCACTGAGCATAATACCCTCTAGCTCCATCCATGTTGTTGCAAATAGTAGGGTTTTTCTTCTTAAGGCTGTTTAATACTCCATTGTACATGTGTACCACATCTTCTTTATCCATTCATCTACTAATGGACACTTAGGTTGCTTCCATGTCTTGGCTATTGTAAATAGTGCTGCAGTAAACATAGGGGTGCATATGTCTTTCTGAATCTGGGATCTTGTTTTCTTTGGGTAAATTCCTAAGAGTGGAATTCCTGCATCAAATGGTATTTCTATTTTTAGTTTTTTGAGGAACCTCCATATTACTTTCCACAATGGTTGAGTTAATTGACATCCCCACCAGCAGTGTGGGAGGGTTCCCCTTTCTCCACATCATTGCCAGCATTTGTTGTTGTTTGTTTTTGGATGTTGGCCATCCTAACTGGTGTGAGGTGATATCTCATTGTGGTTTTAATTTGGATTTCCCTGATAATTAACGATGTGGAGCATCTTTTCCTATGCCTGCTGGCCATCTGAATTTCTTTGGAGAAGTGTCTGTTCATTTTTTAATTGGGTTATTTGCTTTTTGGTTGTTGAGGCATGGGAGCTCTTAATATATTTTGGATGTTAATTCCTTATTAGATACGTCATTTGTGAATACATTGTCCCATACTCTAGGATGCCTTTTTGTTCTATTGATGGTATCCTTTACTGTACAGAAGCTTTTTAGTTTGATGTAGTCCCACTTGTTCATTTTTGCTTTTGTTTCCCTTGCCTGAGGAGATATGTTCATGAAGAAGTTGCTCATATTTATCTTCAAGAGAGTTTTGCCTATGTTTTCTTCTAAGAGTTTTATGGTTTCATGACTTACATTCAGGTTTTTGATCCATTTCGAGTTTACTTTTGTGTATGGGGTTAGACAATGATCCAGTTTCATTCTCTTGCACGTAGCTGTCCAGTTTTGCCAACATCAGTTGTTGACATTTGCTTATTTTTATACATAGGACATAATTGTGTTTTATATGTTTGAGTATGAGGCACTAGAAAGCACTGTGTACTAACAGACAGTTTTGTTAAATGGCTAAACTTAAAATTACAATTATGAACTCAGAGATGATTAGGCTGTTTTCTTAGTTAAGAGGACTCCCAGTATAGGAGGTTATATAAACAAGTCATAAAAGTATTTGTGTAGTAATCACTGGGCATCTCTCCATGTTTATACTCTTAGCTATTTCCCAAGATCTCCCTAATTTCTACTCTCCTATCATAGTTACTATACCTACCAAAATATCTATCACTTGTGGGAGTGACTGGAACAGATATTGCTACTATATTCATTGTAGTGAAAATTTTAAAAACTCAAATAGATCAGTCCCAGACTTCTTTGGCATCCTAGGTCAAATAGCAAATATCCTAAACCTATATTTTACATTTTATATTTACCTTATTCCCAATCCTGTATTAAGCCCTCCTCATACAACTATCTGGAATTTAACATATGTCTTTTATCCCAGTTGGTTGAGGGGGAAAGGAGCCATGAAAGGACAGGCAAATGTTTGGCCCATACACAGTTACCCTACTTGAAGTGTTCCTGCAAGTATTCAAAGTGGTAGATGTGAAGTTTTCTACATGATTTTTTTAATTTAAAATTTTTAACTTTTCCAATTAAAATTAAATCCACCAAATTTCTTTTTTTTTGTTATCATTAAGGTACAATTACATGAGCAACATTATAGTTACTAGACTCCCCCCATTATCGTCCCCACCACATACCCCATTACAGTCACTGTCCATCAGTTAAATCCACCAAATTTAATTTTATAATGATACCACTTTATTAATAAATACACAATTAAAATATATAATGGACAAAATACCTTAATGATACGGAATATATATATATAATATATACACACACATACATATATATATATATATATATATATATATACACACATATACTGTAATTTGTTATACCACCAAATTTGTGATTTGTTATGGTATTCACAGGAAACCAATACAGATTATGGCATCAGTGAATGGGGTTCTGCTGAAACAAATACCTAAAAATGTGGCAGTGGATTTGGGTAATGGGTAAAGCCTGGAAGAATTTTAAGTCAAATGATAGAAAAGGCCTAGAATGCCTTAGACTGTTAGGCTATGGATGTTAAAAGATGCCACTGGTGCAGGTTCAGGAAGAAGAGAAGATAGGAAAAGCTATTTTCTTAGAGGAAACGTCATAAACAGAATGTTAGTAGAAATATTAACATTTAACAGCATTTCTGGTGAGGGCTTTGAAGGAAATGAAACAATGAAAATTGGGGAAAGGTGATTCTCATTACATAGTGGCAGAAAACTTGGCTGAATTGTGTCCTACAGTTGTGTGTAAAGCAAACTTGTAAGTGATGAACTTGGCTATTTGACTGAGGTGATTTCCAAAGCAAATGTTGAAGGTAGGGCCTGGTATCTTCTTGCTGCTTATAGTAAAATGTGAGAAGAGAGAAACTGAGGAAGGAACAGTTAAGGAAAATGAACCAAAATTTAATTATTTGAGAAATTCTCAGCCTACCCAAACTGCAAAGGATGCTGAAATTCAGAGATTCACTGTGGAGAAAGCTTACTCTGGAGAAACGGTGTGGCCAACCTTTACCTGAAGTGGTTAGGTGTGTAATGCACAGATCCAATCAACCATCTCAGCAAAAGCAACTGGATATAGATTATCCAAGATAGATCTATAAAGAACCCTCTTGTCTAATCACGTGGATCCCTGTGACACACAGGAGACACACAAGGTCTTTGTGAATGTTGTATCAGCAGAAACATTGCTGATTTGGACTGAAAGGAACAAAGACAGGAAGAAATAACAGAAGGCTGTCAGATTTCCAAAATTCTACAGGCAAGAAATGGACTGATAGAAATAATTGACTACAAACCTATACTACCTTTCAAGAAAAAGGAGGAATGACTCTAGGAACAGAAGTAAAGTCCTGCAGAACTGTGGACCTTGAGGGTAGAGAAGCAAACTAAAGGATAGAATCTCAAGCTACAGAGATTACTCCCAGGCCTAGAAAACTAATGGAATTTGCTCCGTTGGGTTTTGAATTTGCTTGGGCCAGTGATTGTGCACTTATTGGTTATCCATATAGTCACTTCGGTGAAATGTCTGTCTATCTTTTGCCCCTGTTCTAATTGGATTATGTTCAGTTTTTTTTTTTACTGAATTTTGAGAATTCTTCATACATTTTAGATATTAGTAACTTAGATATGTGACTTACAAGACCTCCCCCCCCCAGTGCTTGTTTTTTCACCCTCTTAATAAGGACTTTCACAGAACAAAGTATTTTCATTTTGATGAGCTCTGATTTATCAAATTTCTCTTTATGAATCATGCTTTTGGTGCCAACTCTAGTATCTCTTTGTCTAGCTCTAAATCCCCCAAATGTTTTCCTTTTTTTCTAAAAGTATTTTTTACATTTGTCTGTGATCCATTTTGAGTTAATTTGTTACATGATTATGATCATATGTGTTATTGAGATAATGTGTTATTTGAATTATAAAGTGTAAGACTTAGAGGACTTTTTTGGTTTTGTCCAGGTTGTGTTTTGTTTCTGCTTTTTTTTGCCTATGAATATCCAATTGCTGTAGTACCATTTATTCAACAGGCTGTCTTTCCTCCATTGAATTTCTTTTGCTTTGTCAAAAATCAGTTGGGTATGTTTATGTGAATCTAATTCTGGGTTCTCTGTTTTGTTCCATTAACCTATGCGTTAATCTCTGCCAATACCATGGTCTTATTATTGCATCTATACAATAAGTCTTTGAACCCAGGTAGAGTGATTCTTCCCACTTTATTCTTCTTTAACAAAATTACATATTATTACAGTTCCTAAGTCTTTCCATATAAATTTTAGAATAACCTGGTCTATATTTACTATGGTACACAAAGTAATGGACCCACAAATATAGTCACACCCTAATCCCTGAGACCTGTGAATCTCCATGTTACATGGCAAGGGAAATTCAGATTGCAGATTGAATCAAAGTTGCTAACCATCTGTCCTTAAAATAAATTTTTCTGGATTATTCAAGTGGGTGTAATATAACCACAACAGTTGTTAAAAATGG